GAAGCGAACACCAAGGCAGATGCCAGCACAGCGCTTCATACCTGTATGTGTGCCGAGGCGGGCAGACCGCAGGCCCTCCGCGGGCGGAGCACGGCGCAGGGCGGCCCCCCCAGGGGGCTCCCGCGCGGGAGCCTCGCGGCCGGGGGAGGGGGGGCGGCGCGTGCCGACCGACGGCGAGAGAAAGCATATGTGAGCACCGCCCGATGGCGGCGGCGCGGGTCAGCCCGTCAGGAACCAGTCCTGCCTCTTCCGCTCGCTGGCGTCGCCGGCCGCGGCGGGTTTCTTCATCTGCGGCCGGCTCTGCGGCCGGCGAAGCCGTCGTCCTCCTCCTCCTCTGCGGCCGGCTCCGGGGCCTTCTCCCTCTGCGGCGGCTTCTGGCGCGGCGCCTCCTGCCCTGCTGCCGCCGGATGCCGGCCCGTCCTCGCCCACGTCCTCGTCCTCGTCCTCGTCTTCCTCCTCCTCCTCCTCCTCCTCCTCCTCCTCCTCCTCCTCCTCCTCCTCCTCCTCCAGGCGGCGCGACGGTCACTCCGCCCGACGCCGCACACTGAACTCGGCCAGCACCGCGACGACCTGGAGACAGCCCGGCTGCGGTCCCACCGCCAGGCGCGACTCCAGGGCCCCGCGGTCCCACCGCCAGGCGCCAGCACGCGCCCCGCGCCGGCCGCGCTGGCCGCCGCGCTGCGCACCAGCGCCCGCCCGCGCCGCCAGCGCCGCTTGCCGCCCCTCCAGTAGCGCCGGCCGCCGCGCCAGCCCCGGCCTCGCCGCCGCGCCGGCCCGTTGCTCGGCGCGCCGCCGCCGCCGCCGCCGCGGGCGCTGCCCGGCCCGCCGCCGCCGCCGCCGCCGCCGTGCCCGCCCAGCGTCGCCGCGCGAGCTCCGGCCCCGCCGCCGCGCCTGCCCGCGGGGGCGCCCCCGCCGCCGCCTGCGCGCAGCCCCGGCCAGCCCCGGGCGCCGCCGGCCGCGGCCCGCCCCGCCGCCTGCGCCCAGCCCAGCAGCGCCCCAGCCCCGGCGCCGCCAGCAAGCGAGCAGAGCCTCCCGCGGTCGCCGCGCCGCGCCCTCGTCTCGCCAGGCGCACTCAGCGCCCGGCCCGGGGCCCTCGCCAGGCCCTGTGCTGCGTGGCAGCAAGGACGGCGTCCGCAGAGTGGCGCTGCAGGACGCTGCCCAGCGCCTGGTGCAGCCGGCGGATGGCCGCCGACCGCCCGTCGTCATCGGGCGGCGGGGCCAGCAGGCGCACGAGGGCCAGGGCGTCCTCCCCCAGCCTGCCGTGGTCCTCGACGGCGAAGGGGACCATCCTCAGCCCAGGGTAGCGCGCGCTTGTCGTTCTCGGCCGCCGCGGCCGCGGCGCCGGCGCGCCGGGCTGACCCGCGCTCCAGCGCGTCCTGGGACAGCGCGCTGACCACGGTGAGGTCCACCCGGATGGGGACAGCTACCCGGGGGGCGTGGATTATCAGATCCATTCGTGCCTCCGGCCGGCTGGCTGCTGCGTGCGGCAACACCATCTCCCTGTGCACCGCGCAGCCCATTTCCTCGCACCAGGTTGCCAGCGCGGCGCAGCCGGCGTCGTGGCGGCGGACCAGCCAGCCTCCCACCGCGCAGGACCGCGCGTGCTGCCCCTTCGGGTCCAGCACAGCTCCGCACACACTCCCGTCGGGATGCCCGTGCTGGCACACTCCCGTGCAGCAGGGCAGGTCCTCGCCGAGGCGCACGCCAAGCGCGATGCCGAACTGCGCGTCTGAGAGGCGGTGCTCGGGCCGGGAGGGCGGGCCCAGCCAGGCGCTCGCCCCAGGGCCGCCTGCGCTGTGCAGGGCCGCCACTGCCAGTGGGTCGCGGCTCGCCTCGTTGGCAACGATGCGCGCAGCCGCAGCAAGGGGGGCCGAAGCCAGAGTGCGCTGCGGGGCTGCGAGCCCCTCGTCGCCCACGTGGGCGGTCTCGTCCGCCAGGGCAGCCTGGAGGACTCGTGTCGCCTCCGGGAGACACCTCCGCGCCCACGGGCTCACGCTGGCCAGCGCGCCCGCTCCGTCCAGCCCGAGTCTGCGCAGGCAGTGCGGGAGGCAGAGGTGCCACGACGCCGCCTGGGCCGCCGCCGCCGTGAGCTCGACGCTCTGCAGTCCCAGCCCGCCGTCCTTCCCCGCGAGGCAGAGCTTCCTCCCGCTCAAGCCCCCCAGCGGCCGGCCGCGCACGTGCTGCACCTCCGCCAGGAGCGCCGCGTCCAGGGCGCGGGCCTCCGTCGTCGGGATGCCGCAGGTACGCGCGAGGAAGGTGTAGTCGGAGCTCGTCCGGGCTCGCAGTAGCGCGAGAGCCTGCTGCGCGTCCAGTCCAGCGGCCCGGAGCTCTCTCAGGCGGGAGTACACTCGCTCCCGGGAGGCAGCCAGGCTGGCCACCTCAGGGCTCCCCTGCGCCAGCATGCTGCCGTTGGCCGGCTGCGCGGCTGGGGCAGCCGGCACCCCGGGCGCGGCGGGCAGCGCGCCGTGGCGGAGCACGAGGGCCCGCGGCTCCACCTCCGGGTGCGCAGGGAGCGCTGCCACGTCCACCTGGCGCCCTGGGCTCAGCTTGGTTTTGGTCGGGTTGGCGCGGAGGCCAACCTGCGCGCATGCGGCGACGAACGCCGCCTCCGCCTGAGCCGCCACCGCCGGTTCGCAGATGACGTCCAGGTCGTCCTGGTAGCAGTAGCTGCGCCCTGGCTCGGTCGCCGTCCCGGCCGCGGCCACCACCGAGTCCGCCACGTGCTTGTAGCAGAGCGGGAAGAGCTGGTTGGTGAGCGCGTCGCCCTGGTCGCCCCCCTGCTCCTTAGGGAGCAGCGTGCGGCTCCCGTCCCGCGCCACGTGCACATGCACAGCCGCCGTGCTCAGACCGCCGCGAGCCCACGGCAGCAGCTCGGGGACCATCGCCTGGACGGCCCGCGCTGCAGCGGCCCGGTCGTACTCATTGTGCGCATTGCTGGCGTCCAAGCTCAGCTTGCAGCAGCCCGGCCGGCTGTCTAGGTCAAGCAGGGCCGCTTTGTGCATGTACTCCGCTCCCCTCGCGTTCCCCACGGAGTACTCGCCGTCGCCGAGGGCCGCCGCCACCCTGCCCCGGAACACCCGGCCAACCGCTCTGGAAGCGGCGCGGCGGTGGAAGATGCCTAGCGCGAACGGCCGGACCTTGTTGTGTTCCACCCGGTCCCCGGCCAGGACGCGGGCGCCCAGCCAGGCCTGCACGGCCCCGCGCGGGGCCTCGCCGAGCTGCAGTTTCAGGATCACCTTGGCGAAGCTGTCCCACGCCTCCTCGTGCCGCGGCATCCACGCCCAGTGCTCTCCCCGGGCGCCTCCAGGACCCGCGCCGCGGTGCCTCGGAGCGTGAAGGTACGCCAGGCGCAGCTGCACCAAGAACCGGTCAACATCATCAACCGTAGGCTGCACGGCTGGGATGTTTGGCTGGGCCGCAGCTCTGGGAAACAGCGTAGGGAGGCAGCGGCGGGCCTTCTCGTCAGGAGCGAGCGGCAAGTTCCCGTCCAGCACCCGCATGGCCTCCCGCACGTCCTCCTCCGCGAGTGCCTCCTCGATCGCCTTGACGTCCTTCGCCAAGCCTTGCGCTGCTGTGAGTGCCGCGCCGGCGCCGCTTCGCAGCGGGAGCTCCGCCTCCTGCCAGAGAATGTCCCAAGACCCCTCCCAGATGAGCCGGATTCGCCTGGCAAGTGTGCGCGCCACCGTCTCCCCCTTCTGGCCCCTGGTTCCTCCCCGCCGCTTCCGCGACGCAGAGAAGAGGAGGCGATCCGAAAAGAGGAGCGCCTTCAGGCCGCGGATCTCGCCCTCGCCCCCAGCCGCCGCCAGGATAGAGTCGCACAGCACTTTCCGGAAGTCCGCGACGGCGTAGCGGAGCGCCTCCGGGACGACCGAGATGGTGCCGCACCTCTCGTGGAGGCTGTCCCAGCTGACGTCGTCCCAAAACTCCATCCGCTGGAGCTCTCCGTGCGGCACCGCCCCATCGGCCTGCACCAGCGCTGCCGCAGGCCGCACTGGCAGCGGCGCCGCCCCGGCCGGCTGCGCCCCGGCCCGCATGCCCGCAGCCTCCGCTGCGTCGAACGCTGCCTGCGCCTCCGCGCGCTTCTCCATGGGAAGGAGTGCCCAACCGCTCAGGCCGCCTGGCGGCCCGCACTGGCTGGCGACGCAGCCTATGTGGTGGACCCGAGCTCCAGGGCCTCCGCGCCGCACTCGGGGGGTGCGAGCCGGCACCTCCCCGTGGCAGGTGGCGCACATGGCCAAGCTCCTCGACGTGGGCGCCGAGATCGCCCACCCCGCCTCGCCGCCTCCAGCCGGCGCGACAACCGGGACGTCATCCAGTGGCCGCCGCCGCCGTCGCCGCCCAGCGCCTCCGCCAGCTGCACCGCCTCGGTCTTCGGCATCGTCCCCCTCCTCCTGCATCATCCCCTCGTCCTGCACGTTCGCATCCCTCCCATGATCAGCAGGCAGTGCCGCCGCCGCCGCCGGCGCAGCGCCGAGAATGACATCGCCCTCCATCGTGTAAGCAAAAACGTGTACGAAAGATGCTACGGCCCCCCCCCCCCCGGCCGGCCGCCGGGCCAGCCGCGCCGGCCGGCCGTCGCTCGCTTTGAGCTCGCTTGAGCTCCTCCTCCTTGAGCTCGTCTTCCTCCTCCTCCTCCTCCTCCTCATCCTCCTCCTCGACGCTCGTCTTGCGTTGCCTCCTGGCCATCCTCCTGGCAGCCTCCTTTGGGTTTCCTCAGCGCCTCCCTGCTGCCTCCTCGTGGCCTCGTCGTCGCTCTCCAGCCGCTGCTGCTGCTGCTCCTCCTCCTCCTCCTGGTCGCTGCCCTCTGCAGGGTTTCCTCAGGCAGATGCCAGTGCACAACCCGTCTGAGCCACCCCTCACGGAGGGCGGCGCCGCTGTGGCGGCGGCGGCGGCGGCGACAACGACGACGACAACGACAGCGACGGCGGCGGCGGCGGCGACGACGACGACGACGCCGACGACGACGAGGCGCTGCAAAAAGAGAGCGGCGCAAGGGCGACCGCGCACGCGGATGCCCCAGTAGTGGCGGATGCCCCTGTCGGGGCGACGAAAGCTATACATATCCACGGCCTCCCCCTCCTCCTCCTCCTCCTCCTCCTCCTCCTCCTGCTCCTCCTGCTCCTCCTCCTCCTCCTGTTCCTGCTCCTCCTGCTCCTCCTCTCCTCCTCCTCCTCCTCCTCCTCCTCCTCCACTCCTACTCCTGTTCCTCCTGCTCCTCCTGCTCCTCCTGCTCCTCCTCTCCTCCTGCTCCTCCTGCCCTCCTCCTCCTCCTCCTCCTCCTCCTCTTTGTCCTCCTCCTCCTCCTCCTCCTCCGTTCCTCCTCCTCCTCCTCCTCCTCCTCCTCCTCCTCCTTGCATTCCTCCTCCTCCTCCTCCTCCTCTCCTCCTCCTCCTCCTCCTCTCCACTCCTCCTCCGCCTCCGCCTCCTCCTCTCCTCTTCCTCCTCCTCCGCCTCCGCCTCCTCCTCCTCCTCCTCCCCTCCTCCTCCTCCGCTCCGCCTCTGCCTCCTCCTCCGCCTGCTGCTGCTGCTGCTCTCCTCCTCCTCCTCCTCCTCCTCCTCCTGTCTCGTCCTCGTCCCTCTCGTCCTCCTCCTCGTCCTCCTCCTCCTCCTCCTCCTCCTCCTCCTCCTCCTCCTCCTCCTCCTCCTCCTCCTCCTCCTCCTCCTCCTCAGCAGCGATGCCCGGGCCTCGCCGTCCTGGCCCCCAGGTATACAAGGCTCCCTGGGGAAGCTAAGCATCAACGTACTTCCACAAGGTACCCATCGACTTCCCAGTCCTCTGCAAAGGCTGCCTTCTGATCAGGATTTCGAGGCGAATCCAGCCGCGGCGACGAGGGCCTCTGAGGAGGCCCAAACAAGCGAAAACGAAGGGTTAGCGATATGGGCATCTTTTCCTCCTCTGACTCCTTGTTTCAGGATGGGACTCGCCAGGGAGCAGCCCTGATAGGTCTGTAATAACCCCCTTTCTGTAACCCCTTGCGTACGCGAGGACGAGGACGAAGAGGGAGAGCGAGGAGGGCGAAGAGGGAAAGGGCGAGGAAGGGAGGGACACTATTCCCAGCCGAGAGCTTGGGGGGCCCACCAATAAAGACCCCTCGCGGGTATGCATAGATTACGTCGCCCCACCTGTGGAGGCGCACGCGCTTCATCCGCTCCAGGTCCTCTCGGAGGGCCTGGCGGGGGCCCAGCACGCGACGGTTGGTGCCGGCGCGCCGCCGCCGCAGCCGTCGGCGACGTCGACGACGACGACGACGACGACGACGGCGACGACGACGGCGACGGCGACGGCGACGGCGACGGCGACGGCGACGGCGACGGCGACGAAGACGGCGACGACGACGACGACGGCGACGGCGACGGCGACGAAGACGACGACGGCGACGGCGACGGCGACGGCGACGAAGACGGCGACGACGACAACGACGGCGACGACGACGACGACGACGACGACGACGACGACGACGACGACGACGACGACGGCAACGACGACGACGACGACGACGCCTCGTCCACCCGCCCTCCCTCCCTCGCTGCCGCCGCCGTCGCCGTTGGAGATCAAGGATCGAGAAGGAATCCAGGATCGAGGAAGCTCATGGTCGAGGGAGACCGAGGTCGGGGCCCCTCTCGGAGACCTCCAGAAGCCTCCGGGGAGGCGGCCTGCGCGAGACGGTCGCATTCGCCGCCACCACCGCCGCCAACGCCTTCGTCGTCGTCGCCGTTCTCGGCCCTCTCTTCCTGAGGGGCTCCTGGGCACCCGCTCGCCGCCGCGGCAGGATACGCCCCCGAGGTCCCTGGCGGAGCATGGTCCAGGACAACTCCGGGAGCCTGGCGTCTACGAGGAGGGCGAGGAGGTGGAGAAGGAGGAGGAGGAGGAGAAAGAGGAGGACGAGGAGGACGAGGAGGGCGAGGAGGGCGAGGAGGAGGAGACGGAGAAAGACTTTGGAGGAGGGCTGCCTTGGGAGGAGGACTGCCGCGATCTTGCGCACGGGCGCGGGGGTGCGGCCATCCCCTCGCGCTCCCACGCCGCCCGGGCCGAGCAAGGGCACGGTACCAGGTCGGGCGGCGGGGCTTGGCGGCGCGCTGGGGGGGAGGAGTGGGGCGAGGGGGCAGGGCTTGTAGGGACACGTGAGCGACGAGAAAAAAACGGATCTTACGCGAGATGGCATAGCGACCTTACGCCGCGGCTTACGCGGGCCGCCAGCGCGGCATGCAACGCTTTACGCGCACCCTTACGCGGGCAGCTTACGCGCCAATGTCGGTGAAGACGACCCCGTTTGTCTGCGTCGATCACATGAAGGGGGGATTTGGGGGCAGGAGTGTATAGCAGCATCGCTGATGCATCTTTGGTTCACTCTAGTCCCCCTCCTCCGCCTCCTCCTCCTCCTCCTCCCCCTCCTCCTCCTCTTCCTCTTCCTCTTCCTCCTCCTCCTCCTACTCTCCTCGCTTCTCTCCTCGGAGAGCGGGCCAAGAAGTATGTTCCCCCCGAGTAACCCGAAGGATGTGATCGATGATGACCTCTTCCCTCTGGGCAGAGGGTCAAGAGCACACAATCGGACCATGCCTTGAGCCTTGAGCTGGGACCTGAGCCTTGAGCTGGGAGGAGAAATGGACACACAAACACAAGGGGGTGGCCCTCTAAAAGGTAGGCTTCTTAGAAGGGCTCGCGGGGGACCAAGGCTTCCGTGGAAGGCAGGGGGCCGTCGGCGGGAGAGAGGAGGAGGACAAGCCATGTTCGCTCGCGCCACATCTGACCCAGGGTTCCCCCCCAACAAAATACTAATGGGACCGATCGGCCCCCCGCCCGCTGGATGGGTACGCCCGTGAGCCTCGCGAAAACCTCGCAAACTGGATCGCCCCGCAACCACCCCCCTGTAGGCGTGGCCCCGTGGGCGTGGCGTAGTGGAGGAGGGTCCCGGTGCCCCCGCCCCTCCCCCTGTGGGGCTGAGGTGGGGCTGCGGTGCCGTCGTCGCCGTCGTCGTCGCCGTCGTCGTCAAGAATGACGTCGTTGTCGTCGTCAACAACAATGCCGTCGTCGACATCGTCGTCGACATCGTCGTCACCTTCGTCGTGGACGCCGTCGCTGTCGTCGTCGTCGTCGCCGTCGCCAATGTCGTCGCCGCCGTCGTCGTCGTCGTCGTCGTCGTCGTCGCCGCCGCCGCCGCCGCCGCCGTTGCCGCAGCGGCGCCACTCTCCGTGAGGGGTTGCCCAGACGGGTTGCGCACTGGCATCTGTTTTGGCGTTCGCTTCAGGGTGGCTAGGAAGAGCAGGAGGTCGTCGTGGTCGCCGTCGCTGTCGTCGTCGTCGTCGTCGCAGCCGTCGTCGCCGTCGTCGCCAGCGTCGTCGCCGTCGTCGCCAACGTCATCGTCGTCGTCAACGCTGTCGCCGTCGCCGTCGCCGTCGCCGTAACCGTCGCCGTCGCCGCCAACAATGTGGCCGTCTTCGTCGTCGTCGTCGTCTTCGCCAGCGTTGTAGCCAACGTCGTCGACGTCGCCGTCGTCGCCGTCGTCGCCAACAACGTGGTCATCTTCGTCGTCGCCGCCAGCGTCGTAGCCAACGTCGTCGACGTCGACGTCGTGGTCGCCGTCGTTTTCGTCTTCGTCGCCGTCGTCGCCGTCGTCGTCGTCGACGTCGTCGCCAACGTCGTCGCTAACGTCATCGTGGTCGTGGTCGTGGTCGCCGTCGTCGTCGTCGTCATAATCATCATTGTCGTCGATTCGATTCGATTCGCGGGGCCATGAAGGCAGCTCCAGGCGAGCCTACTCGCCCGAGCCCTCGCCGACGGGGCTCAGGCCGCGGCCGCGCCGCGGGCGGACGCGGCGGTCCTCCGCGGCGGAGTTGGCGGCCAGCACCCGCTCGGCGAGGTCCTGCTCGCCCAGGCCGTACGCGGCCAGCAAGGCGGCCCGCGGGCCGATGCCCGCCACCACCTGCCGCGCCGGTGCCGTCGGCCGCGCCGTTGCTTCCTGCTCGCGGCCGCCTGCGCCTCCTGACGCTGCCGCCGAGCTGCCGCCTGCTGGCGAAGGGCCCGCATCGCCCTCGAGGCCCAGCCAGGCCAGGAAGGCCTCCTGGGCCGACGGGGGCAGGGGGCCCTGCAGCCGCAGCGCGGGGATCTCGGCACCTTTCTCCCTGCGCTGCTGGTCCCCTCCGCGAGGCCGTCCGCCTGGGCGCAGCCCTCGAGCCCAGAGGCGGCGCTGGCTGCGCTGCCCAGTGGCCCTCTCGCCGATGCATGGCTCCTTGAGCTTTGGGCGGCCTCCAGAGCGGCCGCCGAGGACCATGAAGGCCCCGCGCCTGCTGCATGCCACCAGCTCCTGGGGCCCCCCGCCCACGTCGCAGCACGCGTACGCCAAGGAGTGGCCGAGGTAGCAGATGCCAGCCGTGGCGATGGAGAGGCCGACAGCGCTGGCCACCGAGCGCACGCTCTCCACGCGCGGCTGCTGAGCCGTCGGCCTGCCTGCAGTGGGCAGCTCGGCTCGCTCCTCCTGGTCGGCGAACCTCACCCGCTGCCTCTCGTCGGACTCGAGGAACCCGCCACTGTCCTTCTCCGCGATGTCCTGCCAGATGACGGCCGCATGGCCCACCCAGCGGGCCAGCTCCTGGACGAAACCCGCCAGGGCACGGTGCTCGCGCACGGTCTGGGCGTCCACGGCGTGCAGCCGAGCTCCCAGCTTGGCAAGGCGGTCAGCGTGCTGGTTGCCGCGCCTCTGCGCCTCCGTGAGGCGCCCGTCGAGCACTGCCTGCCAGCTGCAGTGGGCGGGCACCTTGTTCACCCTGAAGCTGCCAGGCTCGAAGGCGGCGAGGCTCCTGCTCCAGAGGTGGGCGTTGACCTTCGTCGGGCCCGTCGCATAGGCCAGCCCCCTGCGCAGGCACTCGACCGTGCCATTGCAGTCGATGTTGACCTCCTCGACTGCAGGGCCCGCGTAGTTCGCCAACATCCAGACCGCAAAGTCCTCGCCGTCGCGGGCGGTTTGCTGCGGGCAGAGGTCCCTCCTGACGGTCCCGTAGACGCCCGCGATGAGGTTGCCGTCGTCGTCGCACTGAGCAATCGCCCAGCCCGCGCGTCTCAGGGAGCCGAACTGCGGGTCGACTGCCGAGCCGTCCAAGTACAACTTGCCATTGAGCCTGTCGTCGGGGGGCCTGCGTATCCACCAGACACTCATGGCGTCCGTGCGGGGCCCTTGAGGAGGCGGCGGCGCTGGCAGCCAGCACCTAGCGAAGTCCTCCCCTGCTGCCTCTCCCTGGGCGCGGACCCGCACAGCGCTCCTCATCAGCGCTGGTGAGACCGAATCCCGCCGCTGGGCCGCAAGCATGGGGCACTCGAACAACCTGTGCCAGAGGGTGCCCCGAGCAGCTCCGCAGCACCTGCAGCTGGCGTGGCTGCTCTCGCGGGCGCTGTAGAGCCTCGCCTGCGGCCAGTGCGCGTTCGTGAGGTAGGCCACCAGCCCGTTCCTCTCGCGCTCGTTGAACTTGCCTCCTGGCCCGATGAGCTCCCTGAAGGCGTCCCAGAAGAGAGGGCCCTGCACAGACGAGGAGTTGGCCAGCTTCAGCATCTCATGCCTGTCCGAGGCGCGCCTCGCTCCAAGGCCGGCCTCAATGCCGAGCTCGCGCGGCCCCAGCAACGTCAAGTCAAGCTCGTCCCCGACGTCCGTGATGAGGCACCGCTCGGACCTGAAGTACCAGCCGATCCTGCCAAGGGTGAGGACCGCTGCATCCACGGGGGAGCTGCAGTGCACCCAAGGCGCCGTCGCAGCCGCCTGCCGCGACGCCGCAGCCTCGAGCTCGGCCCTGAGCATCGGCAGGGAGAGCTCGCCCGAGTGCAAGAGCCCTGCCAGCATCTGGAGCGAGCGATCCGTGATCAGCACGAAGGGATCCAGGTCACGGCCCCTGCGGAGCTCCGCGCACCGCAGCCTGAGGCCGAGGGCTGCGCCGCGGGGGAGCCGCCCAGCGCTGCGGCACGCAGTGACACGCCAACTGTGCAACTCTCCATCGGCCACGCCAGTAACCGCCCGTCCCCAAACCATACTGGAAGTAGGCCCAGCCTTGTGGATCAGGTCCACTTCGACTCCTGCAGCTCGTAGGCAACGCAGGCGCCGCGCCCGCTGGAGCGCATCCCGCGCCCGCCCACGCCCTTCACGGACTCCTCTCATCGTGATGCTCGCATCAGTGCCCAGGTTGCGGGCTTTGATGTACCCTCTCGAACTTCATGCCGTGCGCCTTCCAGTACTCGCCCAACTCCTGGGCAAGGCCAGAGCAGGACGCAAGGCACACGGACTTCATGGGGCTGAGCGGGAGGTGCAAGTCCCCAAGCTGTCGCGCCATCTCAGCTCCCGCGCCTCCTAGCTGCTCCACGACAAGGCGGCGTGTCCCCAGTGCCTGCAGGGCCACGTCGTCGACGACGTTCCTGCCAATGACGAGCAGGCGACCTCCTGAGGACACGGCCCGAAGGGGACCGAGGAGCGGAAGCTTGGCCAGCGTAGTAGCACACGCACAGCCCGCGAGGACGGTGCCGTGGGAGCAGAAGCCGTCGGAGACCAGGCCCGCGAAACAGATGAAGCGAGGGGCTTGATACATGGCCAAAAGCCCTCTCAGTAAACGAATATTGAAATTGTGCTCGATGGCGCAGCTCCAAGGCACGTCGTGCCGCAGATTCTCGTAGAACTTCACGATGTCCAGGAAGAGGCTGCCAGCCTCGAAGCCGGCATGGCGGGCCGCCGATGAGAGCAGGTTGTGCATCCAGCCCGCCTTCTCACAGCCCTTGCCCTCCCTGCCCCAGAAGAAGTGGAAGTTGTGGGTGGACTCCCACTGCGCACAAACGGGCTGCCGAACACGGCTCCAGACTCGGAGGAGAAGCGGGGTGAGGGCAATGGGGCAGACGCCCCCATCCAGCTTCGGAATGAACACGATCATAGTCGCGGAGGCTCCCAGCGCCTGCGGCCGCTCCTCGTACGCCGCAAGGAGGTCCAGGCAGCGGAGCTGGAGGGCACTCGGCAGGAGCAGCAGCTGTCTGGGGTGTAGCTGGTCCGCTCCGAGCCCAGCAGATGGGGAATAGCGGCGGCACGTCGCCTGGAACATGTCGAGCGTGATGGGAGGCAGGGTCCAGTCCTGGATGTCCCAGGTGCAGACGTCGGCTCCTCCCTTGAAACCTTCCTGCTGCCAGAGGGCTTGCCAGTTGGCCTCGAGCTGACCAATAGCAATCATCCCTGCCAGCGGCATGCCCGTGTCTGGGTCGACGACCTGAGGAGGAGGCACCGCTCTAGCAAAGCGGCGCGCCAACCTACCTCCTCGCTGGACAGCCTCCTTGGCCCACGCTCGCCACCGCGCGGAGCTGTTGCCCCCGTCGCGCCGCTGCGAGCTGTAGAGCCGTCGCTGGAGCTCCGTGATGGCGCCGACGTGGCCGAGGACTCCTGCCTGGCCGACGAGGTCGATCCACCCGCTGGTGTCGAAGTCGAGCTGCTCCGCCTCCTCCTCCTCGCGGGCCGCGGCCGAGGCGAGCTCCAGGAGGCCCGGGATGCGCTCCGCCTCGCGCGAGCACCAGCTCTCATGTGAATGCCGCCACCTCCCACTCCTATCGGCGGCCAGCCTCTGCAGAGCCAGATCGAGGGCCTGCCGAATGGCGTGGGTCAGCTCGGAGTGACGGAAGCGGTACTCCCGCTTCGCGACCGCGCTCATCGGCCGCAGGGCGCGCCTCGGCCCCGCGGCTCGACCCAGGAAGCGCTTGTGTGCGTCAGGCTGGATGTCGTGGATGCCCACCAACGTGCCCTCGACCGCCTCGACCCACTCGCTCACCGCAGCAGGGAGGTCGTGGGGCAACTCGCCTGCCTCCCAGCTCCAGGTACACGGCACGGCCTGCCACTGCACTCGACCGCTGCGCCGAAACACCTGCACGACGGCGTCCTCATGGGCCCTGCAGTCGGCGGCCTCCACGTCAGGGAAACGGCCAGGCCTCACTAGGACTTGTACCAGCGCATCCGGCCGCAGGTCCTGCAGCCGCAGTCGGACTGGCTTGTGCGGGTGCAATGCGTAGCCGTCCAGAACAGCGGTGTTGGCAACCCCGTGGGAGAGGCAGAACGAGCTCGCGAACCAGTCGTACACCCGCTCCGTGCCAGACGCCATGCACGTGGGCTCGGCTGGCCCAAGGTAGGCACCTCGCTGAAGGGCTGGCCAGCCGAGCTCGTAGAGGGCCCCAGGCTCCATGTTGAAGTCGCCTTGCACGAGCCACGGGGGCCCCTCGGTCAGCACCAGGTCCCCCAGGCCACCGATGATGTCCAGGTTGACCCCTTTGGGCCCGATGCCGTCCTGCAGGTACAAGGAGCAAGCTAGAAGCTGCAAGCCCGAGGCAGCTGCCACCCTGACTGCGACCATGCGGTGCTTGAAGTCCCCTGGCACTCGCCACTGCGCCTCCCTCGCCTAGAGGTCCTCGCGGACAAGCACCCCGACGCCTCCTGAATGGGCGAAGGCAGCCTGCCCAGTGGGCGCAGCTGCACGCAAGAAAGCCGCGTATCCCAAGCCGCGAGCACGGCGGCGAGCGTTCTCCAGCTGGCGAGGTCCAAGGCGGACCCCCTGAACTGTGACCAGGTGCGGGCGCTCGTCCTCCCGCGAAATGTAGGCCTCGAGCACCTCCATGGCGCGATCCCAAGTGTTGCCGTTGAGGCCCAGCACGTCGAAGCCTGCACGGAGCTGCGCGGCGGCCCTCTCGCCAGCTGGCTCGGCCCCGCCTACTCGCGCCTCAAGGGCAGCTGGAGTGAACCCCGCGGAGGCCCCTCTACTCTCTTGGGGCGGGGCAGACGGCTGCGACGTCGGAGGGCTGAATCCCCCCGCCGCCTGCCCGCTCGAGGCCGTCGGGGGGACGCCGCGGCGGCCCCGGCCGCACCTCGGCCCAGGAGCAGGGCCGCCTTCCCGCCGCGGCCCTCCCCGCGAGCGCTGCAAGGTCGGCCAGTCAGACGGCGGGGGCGGCGGCACAGGGCCCCAGGCTGTCGCCGCGGCTGAGCTGCTAGGAGCGAGAAGGGCCCATAGGAGCGTAGCCCCCAGGAGCCGCCAGGGTAGCCACAGGCTGGCCGTCCTCGTGCTCGCCCTTGGCGCCCACCAGGATCTTACGCTCGGCCTGGCCAGGCTGGGGCCAAGCGCCGAGCGCTGCGCCCGACTGCCCGCGGGCGGCGGCTGGCCCTTAGGGCCCCGCTGCAGGGCACGCCCTCTGGGTGGGCGGGCCTGGCCGCACCTGCTGGCCTGCGGCCTCCGCTGGCGCCTGCGGCTCCACGGGGCCTGTGGCCCCAGGGGCAGGGGCGTGGGGCCCTTCCTCGTCGACGTCGACGGCGAGCCCGTCCCCGCCGAGGCCGTCGGCCCAGCGGGCAGCAGCGGCGGCAGGCGCAGCAGGGCGGAGCATGTCCGAGATGGCGGCGCTCTGCGTGGTGATGATGTCCATGATCTCCAGGAGCCTGGGCGCAACGCCATCCGAGTTACGGCCAAGCATCTCGCCCAACTGGTTGACCTGGGTGACGAGGCCCCCGACTGCGGTCTCGAGGGGACGCCTGCCTCCGCACACCTCGATGGCCCGCTGGAGGGCCTGCTGGACCGTCTGCGCCTTCGACTCCTCGAGCTTGCCGAGCTGACAGTTGAAGTCCTCGACCGCGGACTCGACCTCGGCCAGCTCCTCCTGCTTCGCCGCGATCTCCTCCCTGAGGGCCTCTGCTCGCTGCACGGCCTGCTCGCGCTTGGCCCTGGTGGCGGTGATCTGCTTCTCGACCTTCTGCATGGCGTTGGCACCCCCGTGGAGGACAGCGCGGGGGGGCCTCCCGAGCTGCTGGGCCTCGCGGAGCTCTGCCTCGGCCCTCTCGGCAGCGCGCTCCGCTGCGAGGAGGGCCGCCCTGGCCTCTCGCTGGAAGGCCTCGCTGGTCCCGCCCATGGCGACGGCCTCGCGGAGGCTGGAGACGCGCGCCTGGGCTCCCTCAAGCCTGCGCTCCAGGCTCGAAGCGGGCTCCTCTGGCTGCTCCTCACGCTCCTGACGCCACGGGGGGGGCTTGGTTCCGCCCCGCGACCGCACCCTGCTGTTGGGTGCGCTGCTCGGGGCGGTGCTGGCAGCAGAGGCAGCCCTGGAGGCCTCGCCAGCTCGGCGCGCCGCGCGCTGATGCGAGCGCCCCCTGGGCTGCAGGACGAAACCCTCCCCGTCGGCCTGGGGCTGGGGCGCCGCACGCAGGCGTTTCGCCCACGCTGGCGCCTTCCCGCAAGACTTGCAGGTCGCCTGTCGCACCAGTTCCACTCCTTGCACAGACAGACCCAGTACGCCCTGCGCCTCCACGGCGGTGGCGCTCCTGCACCGTCGCCCGGCATGGCTGCTGGCCTCGCGCGTACCGCCCGCCGACCTCGCCTCGGAAGAAAGAAGCAAGAAGCTGGCCCAAAGCGCGGCGTCCCTCGCGCTCGACGGCGCCCGATGGACTCGCGGTCGTCGGGATCGCCATGGCCTTGAGCCAAAATGGCTGCGGATCATCATTGTCGTCGTCTCCAACGTCATCGCCGTCGTCGTCGCGAACGTCGTCGTCGTCATCATCGTCGTATCCAACGTCATCGCCAACGTCGTCGTCGTCGTGGCGTAGCAGGTGGCGGATGAGCTGGAGCATAAGCAGGGAGAAGAGGAGGAGGACGACGAAGGAAGAGGATAAGGACGAACAGGAGCAGCAAGAGCCGATATGGAAGGAACGATAGAAGCAGGAGGACCAGGGGAAGACGGAGCAGGGGAAAGGAGGGGGGCGACATCGATAGGAAGCAGGACTCGGATCCAGAAAAGCTGTTCTGAACGACGGGCACGAAGCGCCGATCCGAAAATGAGGCTCACCCTGCAGCAGGAGTACCATTCTGAAGCAAGAACATGAAACAGCTTGTGAAGACACAGTGGGAAAAAGTAACGTTCGGAATCCTGTGTAAAGGCAATACGCGGATGGGAGGCCGAATACCTCCTGGATAGTCAGGGGAGAAGGGGAGAGAGCGGAGTAGTAATCATAGCGGGGGGCAGAGTGGAGGGAGAGAGCGGGGGGAGCACGGGGGGGCCGAGGAGGAGTGGGAGCGCGGGGGAGTGCGGGGGAGAGAGCGCGGGGGGGGGACGCTGGGGGGAGAGCGGCTGGACCGAGGAGCAGTGGGATGAGAGCAAGGGGAAATGGAGGGTGATGGGAAGGAGGAGGAGAAGGAGGAGGAGGGCAATGGTAAGGAGGAGGAGGAAAAGGAGGCGAAGGAGGAGAAGGAGGGGTAGCAGGCAAGCTAGGTGCGCTCGCGTCATATCTGACGTTTTGAAGCTAGGTGCGCTCGCGTCATATCTGACATTTTACCCCTCCCTCCCATCCCTTACTATGGCGTAGATACTTTCTCTATTCGCGCAATCGGATGTCGTATCATGGCATAGCCATACATGGCATAGTATGGTGTTGAAGGCCAACGCGTAGCATGACATAGCATGGAGTGGCGACGCCCAAAGTGGGGCCCAAAAAATCAACGATTCGACACCGAATGTGGAATCACTTCCAAGCTTTCTTCGGGAGGCTATTTTCTACATTTTAGGGCCTATTTGGAAGGACCGAAACTATGCCGTGACATGGCACTGGAAATAATGAGCCAGCGCTGCAGCGGAAGCACGATTCGGAACGAGCGGAAGCGCGGAAATGAGGCCAGCGCTGCAGCAGGAGCACGATTCGGAACGAGCGGTGACCCGGAAATGAAGCCAGCGCCTCAGCGAGAGCAGCATTTAAAAAAACCAAGCGAAAACCCGTTTCCCGGGAGTCCTGTGTTAAAAATCAGTACGCGGAGGGGGGCCGGCCATTTCCTGGACGTCACCAGGCAAAGAGAGGAGTAGTACTTATATAGTGTAATTGTAAAGGCCCGGGCAGACGTTCCCACTGCCACCCACGGCTGCGCCGAATGTAAAAAAGGCGCTCCTGGTCGAGGAAGTTCGCGTACTTCTGCGAGGTCTTGCCGTCCTTGACGTCTTTCTGACCTCGGGCCGCTGACAGGGCGCCGGAGTCGCTCATCCTCTTCCTGCTCCTCCGCCTCCTCCTCCCCCTCCTCCTCCTCCTCCTCCTCCTCCTCCAGCATCCATCATCATCAGCATCAGCATCAGCATCATCATCATCATCATCATCATCATCATCATCAGCATCATCAGCATCATCATCATCATCATCATCAGCATCATCATCATCATCATCATCATCATCAGCATCAGCATCAGCATCAGCATCATCATCATCATCATCATCATCATCATCATCAGCAGCAGCAGCATCAGCATCAGCATCAGCATCATCATCATCATCAGCATCATCATGATCAGCATCATCATCAGCATCATGAGCATCATCATCAGCAGCAGCATCATCATCATCATCATCATCATGATCAGCATCATCATCAGCATCATGAGCATCATCATCAGCATCAGCATCATCATCAGCATCATCATCATCATCAGCATCATCATCAACATCATCAGCAGCAGCATCGTCGGCAGCATCATCATCACCATCATCATCATCATCATCAGATTCACCATCATCATCATCATCACCATCATAATCATCATCGCAAACATCATCAGCAACATCATCAACATCGTCGTCATCATCATCATAATCGTAATCATCATGGTCATCACCATCAGCATCATCATCAGCAGCATCAGCATCACCGTCATCATCAGCAGCACCGTCGACATCATCAGCATCATCATGAACATCATCATCATCATCAGCAGTATCATCATCACCATCAGTATCAGCATCATCAGCATCAGCATGAGCATCATCAGCATCATTATGAGTACTATCAGCGTCATCGACATCATCAGCATCATCAGCACCATCAGCATCATCATCAGCATCAGTATCAACATCATCATCATCAGCATCATCGGCATCAGCATCATCAGCATCATCAGCATCATCAGCATCATCATCACTATCATCAGCATCAGCATCAGCATCAGCATCAGCATGAGCATCAGCATCATCATCAGCATCATCATCATCATCATCGTCATGTGCCCCCTCCTCCTGCACACAACCTGGCGAGCGGCAGAGTCTGGCGCTCGTCAGCCAAACCTCCTCTTCCTCCGCCGCCTCCTCATCCTGGTCTTCTTCCCCGTCCCCCCCCCTTCCCTTCCCGTTCCTCCTCCTCCTCCTACACCTCCACATGTTCCTCCTCCTCCTCCTCCTCCTCCTCCTCCTCCTCCTTCGCTTCCGCCTCCGCCTCCTCCTCCTCCTCCTCCTCCTTATTGGCTGGCTACGTTGGCTACGTGGCTGAAGCGTTGGCTACGTTGGCTACGTGGCTTATGAGGTTCCTAAGACGTTGGCTACGTGGCTGAAGCGTTCTCCTCCTCCTCCTCCTTATTCTCCTCATCCCTCACATCCACCAGCTCCTCCTCTTCCTCCTCCTCCCCCTCCTCCTCCTCCTCCTCCTCCTCCTTCACCTCCTCGTCATCCTCCTTTCTCTCCTCAGATCCCTGATCCTCCTCGATCCTTCTCTTCCTCAATCCTCTCCGTCTCCTCGGTCCTCGGCATCCTCGATCCTTCTCCTTGATCGTCCCGTTCCTCGGTCAACCTCCTGTACATCATCATCCTCGTCCCCTTCTCTCCCTTCTCCTCCTCTTCCTCCCCCATCCAGCATCATCATCATCATCATCAGCATCATCATCAGCAGCAGCAGCATCAGCATCAGCATCAGCATTAGCATCAGATCAGCATCAGCATCAGCATCAGCATCAGCATGAGCATCAGCATCATCATCATCAACAGCATCATAATCATCATCATCATCCTCATCCTCATCATCATCATCATCATCATCATCAGCAGCAGCATCGTCATCATCACAACATCATCATCACCAGCATCATCATCAGCATTATCAGCACGTCCGCATCACCACCACCAACGCCACCATCATCACCAGCATCAGCATCATCATCAGCAGCAGCATCAGCATCAGCAACATCATCAACAACATCACCACTATCATCAACATCAGCATCAGCATAATCAGCATCATTAGCATCCTCATCATCGTCAGCAGCATCATCAGCATCAACATCAGCATCATCAGCAGCATCATCATCCGCATCATCATGAGCATCAGCATCAGCATCCTTAGCATCAGCATCAGCATCGTCATCATCATCATCATCATCATCATCAGCAGCATTATCATCATACAAGCGGCATGATTATCATCATTATCACCATCATCATAACTACCGTCGTCATCATCAACATCATCAGTGTGATCATCATCACCATCGCCGACACCACCACCATAACCAGAAACATCAGCATGATCAGCACCATCGTCAACAGCACCATCATCACCACCATCATCACTACCACCATCACCAATACTACCGGCCTCATTATCATTGTCATCATCATCACCCTCAAAGTCATCATCAACATCGTCATCGTATTCATCATCATCATCAGCCGCATCAGCAGCATCATCATAAGCATCATCATAAGCATCAGCATCAGCATCATCATCACCATCATCACCGAAATGATCATCATCGTCAATGCAACCGCCATCATAATGATCATCATCGTCGTGCTTCCTGTCTTCACCACCATGATCATAAACATCGTCATCATCATCCACTATCATCACCATCATTGTCATCATCATCGCGAACGTCAAAGCATCATCACCATCATCGTATCCATCATCGTCGTTCTCGTCTTCAGCATCATCATCATCATCATGCTACACCCCAAACCACCCCAACATGCCAGTGTGGCGGGCGTCCCGGGCGATTCCACCGAGGGGCACGACGGCGAGCGAACGAGATGCACCGGGCAAGAGGAGGAGGATGAGGAGGAGGAGGAGGAGGAGGAGAAGGAGGAGGAGGAGGAGGAGGGACACCAGGGACCAAAGCACCAACACACTAGCGATGAGGAGAGAAGAAGAGGGAGAGGAAAGCGGGCCAGAAAACGACTTGAGCAGGCGGGGATGTGGCGCATCGGCGCGACCAGGACGGCCCTCGGTTCCAAAAGAGATGAGAAGTGCAAGACACCACTATCATACTGCTACAACCCAAACCACCCCAACATTTTAGTGTGGCGGGCGTCCCAGGGGATACCACCGAGGGGCGCGGCGGCGAGCGAACGGGACGCACAGGGCAAGAGGAGGACGAGGAGGGAGACCAGGAACCAAAGCACCAACACACCACCGAGGAGGAGACCCGAACACGAGAAAACATAAGCAGGACATCTTCGAGACATGTCTACAGGATATAGGACAGGCAAGGAAAACCATTCGTTTGAAACCTTGAAGCCCCGCTTGCCTCGCAATCATATTAGAAAATGCCGAAGTTCACCGGATAAGGCTCGGCGAGGCGGGCCGAAAGGATCCCTGAAACGGACTCGAGGCCAGAGAAGACGATGTGGGAAAACAAACATTCACCTTTCCTGAAGCTACAACGGGGCCTCACCAAGGCCTCAGGATGATGTCAGGCCCAGCAGGCCACCCTGGTGCACTTCCTCCAGCGGGCCCCGACAGCGCACGCGTCGAAGTTGAAGACCGCCGCGTCGCGGGCCCCCAACAGGCCGCGCAGCGCCGGCGTCGACCAGAACCACGAAGACCTGGGGCTCTCGAGGTACATCGGGATCCTGAGCGCGCGGCGCAGCGCGATGAGAGATCGGACGGCGCACCAAGAGGTCCCAGGGGGCCCGCGGCGGGCCTGGATCCAAGGAGCTGCGCGGCAAATCCACACACGCGGCAGCGCGCGCCCCTCCACGGAGCCAGCCCCCGAGGATGCCGCGGACGACGGGGCGGTCGAGATCGAACCGCGGCTTCGAGGCGAAATCCATCGGCAACGCGGCGACGCCCTTGCGCCGCAGCGCCGCCGACAGGCGGCCCGCCCCAGCGAACGGCTCCAGCACGGCGGTGCGAGGGGGCCCTGCTGACGCTCGAAGCAGTCATGAAGTTCTCTGAGGAGGTGACATCGACTGGCATTCGTCGAAGGCCCCCCCTCGCATGGGCCCGCCAGCTCCACCGCCTGCGCGAGGCGTGGCGCAGCGCGGGCAGGTCCGCGCCGCCCAGGAAGACGCGCGACAGGGCGGCGCCCATCTCCTGGCCGAAGGAGATCACCCGCGCGCCGACGCGCTGCAGCTCGGTGACGATGCGAGCCTGCTTCGCGCACTGCTCGAAGATCTTGTCGGAGGCCCATCCGCCGCGCTGCTGGACGTCGAGGGCCACCCTCTTCGCCAAGAGGTCGCCCGAGGCCCCATCCGCGGCGGAGCCTGCGCGCGGGGGCCGGGAAGCCCGTCGGCCCCAGGGCGCGGGCCGCCCCCTTCGCGCACGGGCTCAGCGAGGCGAGCGGGGACGCCCAGAGGCGGGGCGTCGCCGCGGCGGCCCGCCGCTTCAGCCCAAGCAGCGCCGGCACCAGGAAGACGCACGCGTCCAGAACGACGGCGGGGCCCCAAAAGCCCCGCCGTGCCAGGGCGGCCCAGCTCGCCTGGGCGCAGCAGCAGCGCGGCGAGCCCCGACCACCCACGCGGCCTCCGCGGCGGGGGGGGCGAACTGCATGGCCGCCAGGAGGTCGCACTCTGACGGGCGAGGTCGCAGGCGACGCTGAGGGTTATCGCGGCGGCCTGCTCGAACTGGCCGCGGCGCAGCATCGCCCCCGCCAGCGCCGCCGCTGGGAGCCAGGGCAGCGGCGCGCGCATCCTGCGAGGGGCGCGCTCCCCCCCGCCCGCCAGGCCCGGCGACGCCCGGCACAGCGCCCAGCCCCCCCAGAGGCCGGTCGGCGACAGGAAACACTTCAGGGCCGCCAGCAGCCGCGACGCGTCGCCCCCGCTGCGCCCCTGGAAGTGCAGTGTCGCGCTGCTGCCAGTCGCCCCAGCCCAGGTGGACCTCCGAGCACCAACCGAAGAAGCCCCCCCCGCCTCTGGTAGTCGGCCAGCGTCGCCTCGCTGACAGACCGCTGCTCGAGGTAGGCGAGGCCCACCACGAGGCCCCCGCGGAAGGCCTCGCGCTGGCGGGCCGCCGCCGCCGCCGGCACTGGCGCCGTCAGGATGCCCGAGCCAGATCGCTCGAGGGCGTGGAACTGGGCCGCCACCAAACTTCGGGCCGGAAATCCCGGATTTCGGAGCAAAGCTCGGATCCCGGGCAAATCGCCGCCACCACTGGCAGACGGGGCCGCCCTGTCAGCATCGGCGGCCTGGCTCAGCGGGGCCCCTTGCCAGCATCCGCCAAGCTGCACGTGGAAGCAATCATCGAGACCAGCAAGCACCTTGGGCTCGATCGCCTTGATGTAGGGCAAGCCTCGCGAGGGTTCGTCCGAAGGGTTGAGCTCGCCGGCGGCCCAGCGGGCGATGGCGCGCAGCTTGCAGCCGAGCGAGAGGGCGCAGATCTCCCTGAAGACGCCGCGCTGCTGGGCGCAGGCGCCTCGCCTCCCCCCGATCGCCAGGGCGAGCGACATGTTGTCGACCAGCAATCCCCCCGCCGAAAGCGTTGGCCGCCCCGAGATCCTCGGGGCGCCAGATCTGAAGGCGCCCCGCCAGGCGAACGAACGCACGACAGCCCTGCCGCCGCCGACGAAGAGATTGGGATCAACCTCGCCGAAGGACTTGCCGCAGACCTTGGACCCCTCGGACGCCAGCCGGCCAAGGTCGCGCAGCACCGCGGCAGCGCCATCGCCACCTCAGCGGCGCGACCGGTCTGGGCGACGGCACCCAGGTCGCAGCGGCGGCGGCAGACCCCGCACGCCCCGCCCGGGCGTCGCTGGCCGCGACCTCGTCGCGCCACTCAGCGCCGGCGAAGACGACGCAGAGCGGGGGGGGCGAGCGGGCGTGCCGGGGCTCGCGGCGGACCGCGGGCCACACGGGGAGGGCCTCGTCCTCCGCCGCACGGGCGAAGGAGTAGACGGAGTCGAAGATGGCCAACGAACAACTGAACAGCGCTTGAGCAACATGACCCATACGCAGTGCCCGACGACAATCTCCAAGATGGGGCTGCGCACCTTCCACCGCTGCAGGAGCTCCTCGATGGCGAGGCGGAAGCGCCAAGCACGGCGGGCGGAGACCCGCGCCGCGTGGTCGCGGCCGCCCAAGTCGAGCCGCGCGAACACAGCGCGCCGCGTGGCCTCGACCTGCTCGTGGATGACAAAGCTGGGCGAGGAGAGTTCCTGATCGACCTTGCTCGCGACGGCCTGCACCTCGGCGCGCTGGCAGCCCGCCGCCAGATAGTTGCGAAGGCGGCGCCCGCGGCTGCAAGCTCGGGGCCAAGCCCGACCCCAATGCTGCGATCGCGGACCTGCTGGTCCGAGGCCAGACGCGCGCGGGCCAGCGCGGCCTCGGAGAAGCACCGGCACAGGTGGAGCGCCCAAGACCAGCCCATCGGCAGGATGGCGGGCTTGGGCAGCAGCCAGTCCGCCTCGCGAAATGGGACGCCATCAAGCTGAGCAATGCCAGCCAGACCCGCCCAGACAGGCGGGAGCGAGAAGTACTCGCAGAGGCCCTACGGGACCTGCATCGCGCAGAAGGCACTGGAGATATCACCACTGCTGAACCAGGCGTCGCCGCGACCCGGCGTCTCCACGTGCGCGAGCGGGCCGCCGTTGGGAAGATCGGCGCACGGGGGCGCCTTGAAGCGGGCGCTGCTGCGCGGGCGTCGAAGACCAGACGCTGCTGCCCCGACTTCTTGGCGACGCCCGGCAGCCCGCCAGCCCGCGGCGCCTGCTGGCGGGGGAGAGGAGCGGCACCCCGCGGCCCAGCAGCTCGGCAATGAACTCGCCGCAGGTGGCTGGGCGTCGTAGCTTGGGATCGGCGCAGGGTCGAGCGAGGCCGAGGTCTCGTTGCAACGCGGCCGCTCCCACCGGCGGGCGGAGCACGCGGGCCTTCCAGTCCTGCAGCCATAAACGGTCAGCCACCGGCAGGGCGGACTCCAGCGCGACGGGCGCCGAGCCGCCAGAAGGCCAGGACAGACAAGGTCCTCGCCGTAGGTCGACGCGCCCCGCAGCGCAATGAGAGCGGACGACTGGAACAAGGGTCGGCGAGCGAGGACTCGGGGGCGGTGTCAGCTGGCGCCCCGCCGAACTTGACACACTGGTCAGCAATGTAATCGAACGACTGCTGCTGCAAAACCGCGGGCCGCTTCCGCGCGGGAGGCGAACCGCCGCCAGCCGGCCAGTCGAGCGCGGAGATGCCATCGCTGGCCCAGGCAACCCTCTCAGGACCCTCGCAGGAACAGCGAAGAAGAGGATCAAAGATCGAGGACGATCGATGAGAAGGGGTAGAGGAGGAGGAGGAGGAGGAGGAGGAGGAGGAGGAGAAGGACATAGAGTAGAAGCAAAGGTGAGGTTCGAGGATGAGGATGATCGAGGATCGAGGAGGATAATCAAGGAGGAGAAGCGACGAAGATTAAGGATGAGGAGGACCGAGGACGAGGATCGAAGGTCGAGGAGGAGGAGGAGGAGGGGGAGGAGGAGGAGCAGAAGGACCCGAATAAACCCAAATTGTATCAACTACACCAAAATAAACCCTCCCGTCACAAGGCGAAGCAGAAAGGGAGCCCGCGGACCCGCCGCGCCGTTGCGAAGACCAGATGGCGTCAGCCAAGACGGAAACCGAGCACTCCGTGTGAACCTGCTGCGTGCGAACTTTTATCCTCCGATCTGGAGAGGCGAAGTCCATACGGAACAAGCCCATGCGGACACCGAGCACCACTCCGGATGAACTTACAGTCGACCCGTATCATAAGGACGCTCGATAAGGATGCAAGGGCCTTGGAAGCCCATGTCGACACTTTTCGAGCGGAGCGCGGACAACGAAAGTGGCCAAGGATGGGCCGAGGAGGCAAGGGTGCAAGGGTACCTTTGGAAAGCTTACTCCCATCCTTACTATGCGGGTTGACTGTACTCCGTATGGACTTAGCCTCTCCCAAAATCGGCCCCTGACAAACGGAGGTGCCCCTGAGGGCGCGGTGGCCCCAGACGCGGAGCTGCGAGCCGGTTACTCCTCGGCGGCCTCCGGGCGCGATACTCCTCGTGGGCCTTGGGGGGGGGCCTCCTGCAGGGCGCTCCCCCGAGGCCACGACCGGGCTCGCCTCGGAGAGGGGGGACGTCAGGGGGGAGGTGACGCGCTCGAGGCTTCGAGGTTTCAGGTTTCAGCTGTCTGGGCGTTTTCGTTAGTCCTCGGCGGCATTCCTCGGGTTGGTGGTGATGGGGGGTGACCTACATGGGGGGTGAAGAAAAATCCCCCTTTACGGCCCTTTTCTCCACCCCCCAATTCCGATTTAGGTCACCCCCCATTACCACCCGCCCGAATTCCAGCCTCGAGATGCCTTCCACCGGCTGCGCCTCGCCGAGAGCGTTCCGGGGATTCCCAAGTCGTCCCGAAAGGCCGCCCGAGACCCGAGCATGGCTCGAAAACTAAGCGATGAGAGTCACTGGGGGGACTGGCTCAGGGGGGGGAACGTCGACCCGAAATCGGCGATGCCTTGCCAACACATCGGCCACAGGCCACCGACAGCAAAACCGCACGGTCCCGGGCGGGGCGGGCTATCGGGCCCCCGCCTGGGGAAACCAACGGGTAATGCCAGCTTGTGATGAACAAGAACAAGCGGGGGGGGATAAAAAATGGTTTCCCTACTCGGGCGAATCGCGGGAGTGGCGCCCGCCAAATGAAAACACACGGCGGTGGCGCCGGTGATTAGCGCCGACGCCTGGCCGCCAACGAGAAGGCGAGGGAAACCAACGGGTACCGATGCCGCTACTCCCCGGACCTCTCCCGGGGTGCGCTCGGGCCAGAATTCCGAAGCGAATCCAACGGTGGCGACGAGGACCTCCCAGGGGGCCCCAAAAGGGGAAAACTAAGGAATGGTGGCGGTATGGGTACCTTTTCCTCCTCTCACTTTCGGCGATGAATGGGCGACTGGGGGGCGATGCACTCCCCTCTGGGTCTATCCCCCCCTGAAGTTGCCCTCGATGTGAGGCCGCCACGGCCGGGCTCTCGACCCTCAAAGTCGGGGCGCGCTGCAGGCCGGGGGCCCCGGGGGGCGGCTTGGAGCAGGGGACGGAAAGCAGCACCAGCTTGGCGGCGAACGCGGGGGGGGGGAAGTCCGAGGGGGCGGGCCTTCTTGGAAGGATCGGGAGACCTCGGGCCTTCTGAAGAGTTTCTGGGCCTTCCCCGAGGGCACAGAGCACTTCGCAAAGGCCGCAGGGCCTCCGAGAAGCCCCGCCGCCTTCTGAGAAGGCCTGCCCCTTCTCACTTCCCCCCCGAGCGCGCCGCCGATCCGCGTACGTATGAGCTGTCGGAGGTCCGCGCGGATTTCATGGTTCGGCGAGCTGGACCCCGCGCCCTGGCGCGCGGAGCGCGCCAGGGGTGGCGACGGAGACGCAGCCAAGGGGACCCAGCGCCGATCCAAGAAATCTGCGAGGACCTAGGACCTGCGAAAGTTTGTCTTTGGCGTGTCGTCTTTGAAGGGGGTGGGCCCCAGACCTGCGGGGTCGTAGAAAAAACGGTTGCGAACACCACTTGCTGCCACGGCCCCGAAGACCTCCAAGGACCTGTGCTGCTCCGAACAAAAACGGGCTGGAATGCTGGGCTGGGGGCTTCTGCCGCGGATCGTCACGGCTTCGTGCGTTTTACTCACGACGTCGGCGAAGAGCTGGAGCAAGGAGGCAGCTCTAAGGGAAATAAAACCAGGACCATCACCAAGACCGAACGCGGAAACGTCGGCGACAATCTTGGTCATCGTCCATCTTGGTCATCAACCACTGATGGATCATCCTCGCGAATTGGCAACGGCCAGCATGAACCACGACCAAGATGGACGTCGACAAGATCCCGAGACATATTGGTGATGGTCACCGTGCCTCTTCCCTCGATCTGGGGCGCTGGCGATTGAGCATCCACGCTGGGATCTTGAACTGCAGCGGGCTGCTGGCCACGGCCACGATCTTGTTCACCTCAGCGGTGAGAGGGGTCCGGGGCTGGCGGCGGGACGGCCGTGCGAGCGCGAGCCCACGCCTGGTGTCGCAGACCCGCGAAGTGAGGAAGTGCAGCAGGGTGGATCGGGCAACTCCGAGGAGGTCTTCGTCAGAAAGATGAAGAGCGAATTGTTGAGCCCGAGTGAAGAAGCCATGAGGCCAGATTTGCCCAGATGAAACCCAAGATCGAGCCCGACTAAGCCAGATTAAGCAGGATTCAACTCGAGCTCAGACCAATCCCTAGGATCTAGGATTGGCAAATCTTAGGGGCGTGCCCTCCGAAACTGAGGGAATCCTTCAGGGCGGCACTGGGATGATCAGGTGGTGCCAATCGTGGGGATAGAGACGCCCTTTAGACTGGTAAAACCAAACCGACGGGGATGTACACTGCCTGCTCCCTGCCCCAGACATTCGACGTCGTGTTCTTTTTCGCGACGCAGCTCCTCCCAGGAGGTCTCGACGTCTTCCGGGGGTTGTGGGCTCCCAACACGGTGCGGTGACAGACCGTACGGTGACCTCGAAATCCCGCCTTGCCGCAAGACCTCCCCGACTGGCCCGTCACCGCATCATATTGGGACGCTGGAGGCCCCAGTCGCCCGAGACATCCCCGGAGAACGATCTCAGTCCCCACTGACGGCGTGGTCACCACACCGTTGGGGCGCCCCCGCCTTTTATCCTGAGCGATGTTTGCCCGCCCTGGGGCCCAGCAGGGGCCCCCTGCTTGGGTCGGCGCAGGGGATGCTAAGGGGGTAGAAGTGGACTGTAGCTTGATGCCCGGATGGATTGTATCTGGCCGAACCAGGCCTATGAGTGGGCTGCCAGTGCCCCAAGTGGCGTAGGGGGGCAGATAACTCCGCCAAGTGGGCTACGCCCACTTAGCCCGGATCGGCAAGCCCCCAGGTCATCTGAGGCACTGGCAAACCACGAATAGGCTGGGTCAGGCCAGAGACCACCCACCTTGGCAACAGCTTACACTCCGAGAAGCGCCCGAGACCTCACGTCGCGACCCCTCTACGGCGCGAGGATACCCCGGGGACGGGCGCCCGCACGACCGCCGCGCGCGCACGGCCCCGCCGCGCCTCGTCGGTCGTGAGCTCGCCGGCGCGCTTGTTGAGGTCGATGTCGCACTTCTTGCAGATGATGTTCGAGAACCTGAGGGGCAGCGGCAGTGACTACTTACCAGGCCACCCCAGCCAAACCCGAAGACCCAAATTTCGAGTTGGGGGGGGCGGGTTCCACATGTGTGTTTCCAGTCTTCCCCGACGCACCCCCCCCCCGCACACTGGGAGAGGAGAGCAAATGGGGGCCTTCGGGTTGGGTTGGGGTGGTTCGGTGGGCGGCGGTGAGATAGGGGGAGGGACCAGCTCAGGGGGGAAACATCGCCCTGGGATCGGCGATGCAGCGCCGATACCTGGATCGGCGATAGGTCCCCGATGGCGCATCTGAACGCTCCTGAATAGAGAGCAGAACATCCACCCTCAGAATAATCACCCCGACACGCGAAGCCGTCTAGTAAACGCGCCCAAGTAAGGAATCGAACAGGGCAGGGCTGTTTAGTAAACGCCCAGGGCTTAGCAAACGCCAAGTATCGGGTGCAGATGGTTGTTCCTCCCTTGACTGAAGGAGTTGGGTTATTCGGCCTTTCTTGGCGATGACTGGGCGCTGGGGGGTCGATGCGCCCCCCCCCCCAAAGCCCACCCTCCCTATCGCTGCCCCTGAGAACCGCCGGCCAAGGCCGCGGATGGCCGTGAGCGCGTACATCACCTCTCCCGGTGGCAGTTCATGGGAGCCTCCCAACCCATCTTGTCGGCTCTTGCGGATCGACGTTGCTCGACGTTGCTCGACGCTAAATCGACGCTAATCGACGCTACTCGACACTAGCCGACGCTAAAGCGGCACTATCTCACCGACTTCCAGACGCTGATCGACGCGAATCGACGCTAGAGACTGAATGAAAAAGGGTATACCAGGCTCCCATGATCTGCTACCGAAACCTCGGACGGCGCGGGCCTCAGGAAGCAACTCCATGGAAGACCTTGCAAACGAACTGCTGAGACTGTACAGCCCGCTCCGGAGGGCCACTCGGCAAGATCAGCATGGGACTTAGCGGGATAAAGCCGGATAAAACGGGATCCGCCGGGACTTCGAAGGATCGCGCGCGTGGCCAATGCATCGCTGATGAATCGGCGGTGCATCGAGCCGCATCGTCGATGCGTCGGCGATGCAGCGCGATCCTCCGACCCCATCTACTCGGATCCCATCTAGGAGGCCTAGATAAGCGGGATCAGGCTGGAGTGGGCTGGACTTCGACCACGGATACACCAGCGCCGACGTCTGGGGCCCCCGGAAATCTCGACCCCTCCCCCGGCCTTCTCGCCCCGAACCGTCTTTCGACGGCCCTGGGGCCCGGGAAAGGTCCCTGGAGGCCGAAAACAGCGCAAAGCCTCTGCCATTGATGTGCTCAACGCGCCGATGCTGAGTTTCACCTCCCAGGAGCGGCATCCCGAGGGCCGCGGGCGGCGCACGCGCGGCGGGACCGGGGCGGCCCGAGCGCCGATGCTGAGTTTGAGCTCCCAGGAGCGGCATCCCGAGGGCCCTGGGCGGCAACGACGTGTTCCACCATGTCGCAATACACCTGCCACGCGGCGTCGTCGGTGGCCACGTTCACCTCGCCCCGTGGAATTTGGCGGGCCAGACGGGCAATCCCAGCCGTCATTGGCGGCGGCATCGCGAGCCCGCGGGGCCCCAAAAACGGAACAACGCATGAAAGGGTAATACATACTCGGCCGAAAAGGCTATAGGATGAAAGCAACGAAGCAGCACTGCACATACGTGTATAACTTCAACAGAATGATGTAATGGATGTCCAAGTTTCTGCCACTGTGGCATCACCATGTTTTTTACCTTCGAAGAAATGGACTGAACTATGTTGGAACAAAAACAAATAAACTAGTACTGTATTCAACTATAACGAAACACATGTGCGCCAAAAATACAAAATAACTACAGGCATAGCTATCATGAAGTAACTGCCAGTTCAGTTCTGTGTTGCCCCATCGTACTTAAGTACCACATCCCAGAAATAATTTCGACCACCCAGAAAAGTATCGAAACAGTGTCGAACGAGTATCGCCTCCCAGGGCACGGCACGTGAAAACCCTCCAGCTTGGGTACTTGATCGGTGCTCGAAATTATTTTGGGTGATCAAGGCTGAAGTAGGGTGGAACATCACAATGCCAGCTGTCATCAAAGGGCAGGAGGATATATACATGCTGGGCAGGAGGATGGGCCCTCGGGCCTCTGGCACGGGCCGGTGGGAGAAGGTGAAGGAGCTGGCGAGGCGCCCCTGGCGCCGCCCGGGCCCGGGGAGGCCGACGGACATGACGCCGCCTTGGCGCAAGCCCGACCCGGAGGGAGGGGCGACGGAGGCGCGGCCGCAGGCGCGCCGCCGTCCACCGCCAGCGGAGCGCCGCGCCCAACCACCGGAACGCTCCTCGGGGGCGCTGGCAGGCACGGCGGTGGTGCAGAGGCGCCTCCTGCGGGCCTCTTCCACCGAGCGCTGCCTCTTCGGAACGCAGCCCAAGGCCAGAGCCCGACACCCTCCCGAGCGGCAGCTGCATGCTCACCTCTGCTGATGGCACGAAGGCGCCGGCTGCACGGCTGCACCGATCTGGGCAGGGCGCATGCTTCGAGCAGGGGATCGGCTACAAAATCGATGTACCCAAAACTTCATGTGTTTTGTCAACTCTACGACAAAACGCGTAGAATGATTCAACCATTCTACGCGTTTGTCGTAGATTTGACGAATCTTCGGATCTTCGTCGCATCTTCGACGAATCTACCATTCAACCACTCTACGCTTCTTCGGAGATTCGACAACCAGGTTGTCGAATCTCCGACGATGCTACGTGCTTGTGGTAGATGCGATGGAAAAAAAATGATGGGGAAAACCAATTCTGCAATCGATCCCCTACTCGACTGCTGGGCCCAGGACCGGCGCCTCCCTGGGTCGGGGGCCGCCGGCCCAAGGGATGGAGGGGGCGCGCCCGAAGCCCAGGAGCGCGCGCCGCGCCGTCGCCGCAGGAGGGCGCGTTCCCCCGAGAGAGAGAGGCGACAGGCAGGCAGGCCCGGAAATCCGACGTCCCGAAAGGACTGAAACATTCAGCGCCCCTCTAACGGGGAGACTCCACTGACGGCGGCGAACCCCGTCCTCCCCGATCTGGACAACGCTGCAGTGCCAGAAAGATACCCTAATGTGGTAATTTTCGGCACTTTTCCGAAATACCCGTTAGCGGTTAGCGGTGCCGCTGAAGCATGGTCAAGAATCACGACCGGAGCCCCAGACTCCATCCTTCTGAGCTGGTCCGTGAGCGTCCCGGGGCCCGAGACTGAGCGAAGGCGCCCGGCTCGAAAAAAATGGGGCGCCAGGACCTCGGGGAGCGGGTTTCCCCCGTTCCCCAAACGATCCCTTTTGGCCCACGACGGCTCCGAGGGCCCCGAAGAGCCTAAGGTGGAAAGCACTTTCTGTCACACCGGGCGGTTTCGCCAAGCTTCGGACCTCCAGACCCTCACGGATCGGTCCAGCACAAAAAATTACCGCGGAAAGATCGGGTCCAGGGCTCGGGTCCCAGGCAGGCGATGTCTTGATTCTGTCCAGCACGTCATCCCCGAAGTCCCGACCATTTCCCCAGGAGCAGTTCTTCATCCTGAATCGCTCTTGAGCGGCCCCCTGGGGCCCTGTAAGGGTCTTCACGGACCGAAAACGACGGAAAACCCTCCGACCTGCGCTTTTCGCGACGACAGAATGCCTGGGCTTGCGATGTTCACAGAATGTTGCTGTTTCGCAACGTCGGATCGCATGGGCTCAGTGCAGGCCCCTCCTGGCGCGAGACAAGGGCCTGCGCTGCCCGGGCGGGTTGACCCGGCTCCTGCCGCCGCCGAGCCCCTTCCCCGCCCCCTCTGAGGGCCACCCGACCTCGCGCACCGCCTGACCATTGTGGGGGCACCGCCTCCCCCAAACATGCTCGCGTCGTACACAAAAATCACGACGGAAGGGTTGTGGAAATTTTGATAATGTTCGGCCTCCGGGGGCCCTCGCCGGGCCTCAGGACCGTCAGAGCAGACTCGGGATGAAAGACAGGCCATGGGCCATGGGGGAAAGGTCCAGGCTTTTGGGAACCCCGCATTGGGCACCGCCTTCTCCAGCTGGAGGCCAAAAATCGAGGGAACCCTGAGGTCTGGGCGTTGCCATTGTTTCACACCAGACGCTTGCGCCCGGTCTCGGACCCAGGGACCATCACAGTTCGAGCCAGCTCGAAAAATTGCGCGATAAGATGGGGCCGCCTAAAGTTCTTGCCCCGTCCGAAACTTCTCTCCCATCGCCCCCCCACGGGCAGGCGCCCGGGAACTCGCCTTCTGCCTCCCGTCCACGTTGGTGTTGCACATGCGCAGGATGTGCTGGAAGTTCTGGGACTGGAACTGCACCGACATGTCTCGCCGCTCGCGCCGCCGGGGGGCGAGGGCGCCCGCCGGAAGCGCCCGCACCGCTCCGGGCAGGGCCCGCCCGGGGCCCAGGCGAGCGGCGCCCCGTGGCCTGGCCGGAGGGGAAGCACCCCGTGCGCGGCACACGCCGGTCCCGGGCACGGGATCGGCCCGGGCAGGCCCGGCGCAGGCGCTTCCGGCTGGCGCTCTCCGCCTGTCGCTTGCGCACGCCGCGGTCGCGGGGTCTCGAGGGGCTGCGTGGCCTTGGGCGCGAAGTAATGAGAGGGCGACCCATGGGAGGGGGAAAAGGGTGCCGCTCCGGAACCTGAGGGCCCTCTTGAGGGGCCCGAAAGGGCTCCATTTCGGGGCCCTAGAGGGCCCCTTTTCGGCAGCCTCGCTGCCACCCCATTTGTCGCCCCCCATGAATTCGCGCCCAGCGGCCTGCGTGGTCTCTTGAGCCGGGTGGCTGCGCCAAAGGCCGAGGTCCTCCGGCTGGCCGCGGGTCCTCGGAGAGGCGGTCAGGGCCAAGAAGGCACTCTCGTATGGTCCCTGCACGCACGCATGCCATCCATCCATACATTCGTACATACACACCTGCATACGTACACACATGCACACGTACAGATGTACATACATGCATAGATGCATAAATGCATACATGCATGCATACATGCATACAACCATACATACATACATCAATACATAAATACCTAAACACATACATACATGCATGCATACAAGCATGCGAACATACAAGCATACACACAAACATGCATACCTGCACACATCCATACATACATGCATGCATACATACACACATACAGGTAGACATACATACGTGCATGCGTCCATGCATACATACATGCGTACACATATATATACATATATATACATATATATAGATATATGTATATATATATTATACATATATACATACATACATACATACATACATACATGCATGCATGCATACATACATACATGCATGCATGCATGCATACATACATACATACACATATATACATTTACATATACATATACATGCCTGCATGCATGCATACATACATACATGCATGCACACGTACATACATACAAGCGTGCATGCAAGCATGCATCCGTGCATTCATGCATACATGCATACATATACACACGTGTACGTGCATCCCTACACATACATGCATACGTGTGACAGGACGTACATACACACACTTATATGTGCGTGCGTACACCTACAAAAATACATAAGGGCGTGCATGCATGCATACATCATACATGGATGTATACATTCATGCATTCATACAACATACATATGCATGCATGCATACATATCTACATACATGCATACATACATGATTACACGCACAGGTGCAACAATGCATACGTACATACATACAGGCATGCATACATGCACACAAACGTACGTACACACATTCATACATCCATACATACATCCGTGCCTTCATACGTACTCATATGCATATGTGCATTCGCACGTACTCATATGCATGCATGCAGGCAGGCATGCATACACACATTAACACATACATCAATATATATATACACACACACCTACTTACGCATAGATGTTCACACACCTATATTTGCATACATACATGCTTACAGGCATACGCCGTACGTACGTACATACACGCCAACCTACATACATAACACCATACATACATACATACGTACGTACCTGTATACATACATGCGTGAACACACGCATGCATGCATCCGTACATGCATACAAGCAGACATACTTACGTACAACATGCATACATACACGCATACGTACAAACAAACATGCGTGCCCACATGCATGCATACATGCATACATACGTACATATATACAGGCGAGCATGCATGCATCTATATACACGCATCTACATACATATATATGTCCCACCCGTTTCTTCACCAGAGATGGTTCGATCTATATGGAGAACGGCGGGCTGGCCGGCGGGCTCCACCATGAAGCACGTGCTTGAAGCGACCAGCAAATCATTAACGTAAACATTAACAAGGAGGAGGGGAGGGAGGAGGAAAGCTTGAGAATAATGCCAGCGGACAGTGGCATTGACGGCAAACGGGATGGCAGGACACGGAAGTTTGAAAACGCCGCCATGTCCCACCCGTTTCTTCACCAGAGATGGTTCGATCTATATGGAGAACGGCGGGCTGGCCGGCGGGCTCCACCATGAAGCACGTGCTTGAAGTGACCGAAGACCCAAACCTGGCCTCTGGCCGGCACATGTCAATTACACACACGGGACAAATTCTCGAGGTGAATCCGATCCGCGGCACGCGACAGCCAACGGGCCATTGCACGGGCAGCGGAGGGCGGGCACGGCTCGGCTATGGAAGTCCAGTGCCGCCCGCAAGGGGCTTTACCCTCGAGAGAGATGTGGTGACGGCCAGAGAAAGAGCACCTGACCTCGGCGCCATGGCAACGGCGGGCCAGCGCCTCAGGGGCTGCGCCGCAGTGCCACGACGCCAGGCGGGTGCTTTTTCTCCAACGCGTCCCGTGAGCGCAAAAGTCAAATACGGTAGTATTACAAGACGGCAAGGTGAGTAGGTGAGAAAGTAGGGGCTCTTGCCACATCAGACTGGACATAGGGTTCTCGAGTGCAACAGGCATTCCCCTTTTGAGGCAGGCGGTGACTATTTATAGGGAGTGCTTCAACAGAACATTTCCGAGCTGGGCACGGGCAAGGCCCTGGGGATCGAGATCAGGGTGTCCGTAGATATTAAGAGGAGACCTGTATCTACCACGGCTGGCCACTGACCAGGTGCTGCAAGGTGGCGCGATCCATATGCCGCGCACAGCACCACATCCGATCCACCCTATGAGGATACGAACGAGACGGATGTCAGACAAATCAAGCCAAGGATCATATCTAATATCGATAGAGACTACACCATATTCAGTACTCGATCGAATTTTGCTAGCCACACTGCCGTCACCGGCGAAAAGATCAAGAAACACCTGAGCACGATTGCGGCATCTGCGGGCTGCATCAAACAACTTCTGCATACGCTTGCGGAGGGATGAAAAGGGGCAAGGAATCACTGGGCTGATATGTGTCACCTGCAGGCCTCTTGCTCACCACGGCTTGTCGGGGCGCCGCGGGCGGGGCGGCAGGCGGCCTCGGCCTTGGAGCGTCAAGGCCCACTGGTCCGCCACCGCGGCGCCGAAGGCCTTGACCGACTCTGGCGCCAGCTCCAGCTCCGCGGTGTACCGAGCGGCTCGGCTGCACCGCTGGGTGCTGGTCGCGCTGGCGTGCCGAAGACGGGCCTGCACCGCCTCGAGGCTCCGCGCCCCGCTGGCGATGTCCCAGCTCGCCGAGCCGCGTCGCACCCGGTATGGGTGCGGGTCCCTGAGGTTGATCATCTCCGCGTACTTCTTGAAAAGCTGGCCGAAGCGCCTGGCGTCGAGGTCCCACAAGGGCGCCTGGGCTGGGCGTTCCCGTAGGCGCGCCAGGGCAGGGCCTAGCGCCTTGGAGCCTGCTGGCGCGAGCTGGACCCCCTCGTCGAACTGCTTCCCGTTGCTGCGCAGGCCGGTCTCCTCTGGGTACAGCAGCAGGCTCCACACGTAGATCTCCATGCGGGGCTGCGGCGGCACGAGGGACGGGCTTCGCAACTGCATCAGGTCGCTGGGCAAGCGGAGGGCTGTGTCCCATGCCAAGCTGAGGGCCTCTGCGAACCCCGACTCGCCGTCCAGCATCGCCAGCCCTATCAGGCAGAAGACCGCCTCGCGGACCAGCGGCTGGCGAGTGCGGGCCGGGGCGAGCAGGCGGAAGCCCTTCAAAGCGGCCCTGCTGGCCGCCAGCTCGGCCTCGCCCACCGCCGCGGGGCGGAAGTGCCGGACGGCCGCGATCGTCTTCGACGCGACGTCCGACGGCATCCCGTCGAAGTAGAGCACGTCCATGTACTCGCTGATGGCCTTGTCGATCTCGCTGGCGGTCTGAACGGGCACGGCATGCGTCTGGCACCAGTTGTCGAAGTTCCGGTACGAGGTCACGAAGTGCACGTTGGACGAGGCCCTGATCTTGCGCGCCTGCAGGTACGTGAGCGCTGTCCCGGTCGGCTGCACCAAGGTAGTGGCGCGTGCCGTCCTGGTCCGCTCGGCCGCCAACCTCGCCCTCCTCGCTGTAGCTTTCTCCGCTGGGGCTGGCGTCGCTCGAGCTGGCCGTGGGCTCCGACTCCGAGTCGCTGTCCGAGGAGTCGCTCGGCTGCGTGCCGATGCCCCCCCGGTGGAGCCCGAAGCCCCCTGCCATTGCCGCGGGCGCCGCGGCGTCGCCGAGGCCGGCAAGGCCTGGGTCGCGCCGCCGCGGGCGCCCTTCTGCGGCGAGCGCCTCCGCAGCGGCTCGCCATAGCGAGCCATCGTCGGGCTCTGGTGCAGGGCGGCCTCCGAAAGAGCGGAGGTCGAGGCGGGCGGGCTTCCTGAGCCCTGGCTGCTGGGAGTCTCGGCGGGGCGTCTGCTGGATTCAACTCTGAAGGGATCCACCGTACTGTGATATCGATATTGGCGAAGATGGAGATCGCAGCGAGCCGACGAAGCACGAGGTTGAGCGACGGCACCGAAGATCTCCCCTTCCCTGATGCGAGCACCAGCCCCATGTTGTCGCATAGCAGCAGCAGGCGACGTCCATGGTTGGCAGTGTTGCGAACGAAATGGCGGACCCCCATGACCAGAGCCTCCCCCTCCAGGATAACGATGTCGGCGGCCCTGTTGGACCGTCCATAGAAACAAACCTTCCAGTCTTCTTGAGAACCCAATATACTCTTACCGATCTCGAAAAACTGCCGCTCCTCCTCCCAAGTGATGACGTAGCGATGTGGTGGCGGCGTCGATGATGAAGGCTCGTTGCCATACACTCCCATCCCAGATGGCGGTGCGTGATGATGCTTCACAGGAGGAGGAGGATTCTGCGCAGCAGCGTCGTGAGGATCATCCTTGAGGCCGAGCGCTGATGCCCGAGCCCCTAGAAAGTCGAGCGTCTTGAATCTCCACTTCTCGCTGAGCTGAAGAGCGGCGGCCACGGCGCAGCGAGGGACTTCGCGGCTGACCACGCCGAAGCCCCCGTGGTCGCCAGCGGCGGCCGACTCGAGCCCTGGCGGCGCCAAGTCTGGGCCCATGCTGCGGCCCTGCCGTGCGCCGCCAGAAGCATCGGTAGCCAGTGCAGTGGCGGCGACCGGCCGACGCAAATCTACAAAGGCCATCGCCACCAGTGCCGCGCCCAGCCTGAGCTCGTGACGCACAATAGCCCAAGGCCGCCACGCCATGTCCCCGGCCTTCTCCGCGAAGGAGCAGCAGGCGGCGAAGACGGACAGCAGCGGCCTCCTCAGCATGGCTGCCCAGGTGTAGTGCCCCAGGAGCATGCGCATCTGCACGCCAGTAAGCTTGTCGGCCTCGGCGGCATACTGGAAAGCCCGTCGGATCCTCCAGATCCGGCTGCGCGAGAGGGAGATCCACTCGGACCCCTTCTCGAAGATGAGCCCGGTGAACGGCTGCTCGTCCTGCGGCAGCTCCATGTCCTTGGTGACCAGGCCCACTGCGAGGAGGGATTCGGCAATGGTACGACAGTCCTGCACGGTCTGCGCGCTCTGCGTGCCAATCACTGCGACTCCGTCGACATACACCGCGGCAGCGGTCTGGCCGACCAGGGATGGAGTCGCCCGCTTGTCTTCAATAATACGGGGCGGCGGGTAACCAGCACGCTGCACGCACTGTGTGACCATCTCTTGGCAAAAAAACAGTGACCAGTTCCAACCCATAGGCAGAACGATGAGCAAGGGAGAACATGTCACGCCCCCGCCGATGGCGATGTCTGGCCGAAGTCGGCGAAGGGCACCGCAGTCCAGCGGGGGCAAGACGAAAACCCCCTTCCATCCCGGGAGGTGCACGCATGCGGTAGAAGCAAGCCTCCACGTCAACTTGCGAGAGGCACAGCTCGTCATTAGGCTCCAAGAGCAACCCCTTCCAGCAGCCAGCCGTAGGCAGCGCCGTGTGCGCAGGAGGCTCGAAGAGCTGGTTGACCCGACGCGTGTCAAAGATAAGCCGCAACTTCCCATCAGACTTGGGAACGAAGAAAATTCCGAGAGTAGATTCACGTAGTGAGCCGAACTTCACCAGCCCGGCGTCGTACAAGTCAGCCACGAAGTGGGCGTAGCTGGACTTGCTCTGCATCAGCTTCGCGTCGCAATGCGGCTTCACGGCGGAGACATCTGGGCTCTTCCGCAACAACCGTTGCTGCCACTCCTCCCAAAGGTCGAGCGCCTCGCCCTGCAAGATGCTGGCGCCATCGCACTTGGCGCCGGGCGAGGGCAGCGCGACGAGGTCGCGCTGGAAGGCGGCTGGCTTCACCGGCGTCGATGTGTAGCCGGGCTTGCTGGCGCGCAGCTCCTTGAAGGCTGCCGCGCCGGTGATAGTAGGAGCCCCGATACTTTGAACAGCAGCTCGCACGTGGTCAGAACCAAAACTTTGCCCTAGAGTGGGCGGGCATCCAGGATCAGCGCCCCCTCGTCCGTGGAGACAGGTCAGCGCCTGATGCACCTCCACGCCCCACCCGTCGACGTGCCGGTGGCGGAGCAGACGAGACCGCACGGTACGACAGCACGAGCTGGGATGCCCGCTGCTGCCGAGGGGCGCCTGCGGGAGCGGCACAGGAAGCAGCTCCCGAGGCGCAGGCATGGCGTTGTCACTTGGCGCCGCGGCCGCCGGTATCGCGGCCGCCTGCGGGGTCTCCTTTACCCCCCTGCTGCTGAAGCCGGCGAAGCTCCGCAGCTTGACTCTCGACCTTCTTGCGAAGGCTCTCCTTCGTGTCGCCGTCGGCGCCAGTGCCCTTCGCGAGCTGGCGCTCCTCCCTCAACTTCCTCTTCTCCTTCATCACCTGGCTCTCCCGGTGCAGCTCCGTCGAGATGTGCTCCACCAGGAATGGGGCCATCATGATGAGGCCCCTCGTCCCCCCCGTGCCCATGTAGAGGTGCTCGTCCTCCGCCGTCTCATCGGCCCGGCGGGGCGCCAGGCGGTCGCGGCATCGCCACTCCGCCATCTGCGCCCGCCGGGCCAGAAGCTCGAAGCTCACGAGCTCTCCCACGTTCACCTGATCATACACGAGACCGAACTCGAAGGCCCGCATGGCGACTTCATGATCAGCCACCCCCGGGTCCGACTGTGTGAGCCCCGTCTCGTGTAACCACTTGGTGTGACGGGCCCGGGGGTGGCTGTCCTGCTCCGCGATGAAGCGGACGCACCAGGCCGCTGTGCGCGGCCCCAAGAGCGGCCACCCCGGCCACGGGCTCTCCGTGACCTCCAGCACGGCGTCCCTGAACAGCTTCTTGCGGATCCCGCTGCTGTCCTTCGCCATGGCCAGCAGGCGGTCGTCTCGGATGACCTGCACGACGCCCTCCTTCGGGTCGAGGGCCCTGAGGGTGTACACGCCGGTGCCGACCACAGCGATGGCCATGTCATCCGAGCGCGCGAACTCGTCCACCACGGAGTGGGGGAAGAGGCCGTCGATCTCGGACTTGTTGGGCCCCGCCGTGACGTACCAGCGCAGTGGCTTCACCTCCGGGAGCCGTTCACTCCCAGTCACTATATTCACCAAGTCCGTAGGTGTCTGCGCTGCTGCCCCCGTCGGAGGAAGCGGACCCTTCTTGGACATCCTGCGCTCGGGCTGGACCTGTGGGGCCACCGCTTCCATCGCGTCCACCAGCTCCAGCGCGGTGGGCACCCACTCGGAGCCGTACACCGGTCTCCCGCCCCGGCGGAGCCCAGACCTCAGCAGCACGCTCCCGTCGTTGTCCAGAAGCTCGTAGCCGCGCAGGTCCGGGGCGTCCACCAGCACTGGATAGACGTCGAGGTCCGGGCTCAAGAGGTACCAGATCTTGCCGTCGGCCTCCTGCTGGGCGCTCGCCTCTATCTCCATGACGTCGCTGAGATCCTTCCGTGTGGCTGGACCAACGACGATGCGGGCCTGCCAAGTCCCGCCCCCTCCCCACTGTAGGTTGAGGCGGCGCCCGACTCGCAGGGCACTGCTGGACATAGCAGCACGTGCACAGCACACCCACCAAGAAACCGAAGGTCGCGACCAACAGTAGTGCAGCAGGAGCCCACTGTGCGCCCAACTCCAGCACTGCGCAGTCCGTCACTTGCTGCGCGAGGCTGCTGATGCCCCCTGCAGCTCCGATGAACCCACTGAAGTTTGTCCCGACTATGGCTCCGAGCGAAGTGACTAGGCCTCTCAGTCGGGAGTACATGTGCCGGCCGTCGAAAAAAGAGCTTGAGAAGAATGCCAGCGGACAGTGGCATTGACGGCAAACGGGATGGCAGGACACGGAAGTTTGAAAACGCCGCCATATATGTATATACATACTGGCATAAGTCATACATACCTGCATACAGGCATACGTACGTGCGACCGTGCGTACATACATACATACGTGCACACAAGCGTACATACATACACACATACACGAATACGTTTATACATACATGCATGCATCCGTGAATGCATACATGCATACATACCAGCACACACAACTATAGATATACATACAGACATGCACACATGCATACCATAATACATACGGACGTACGTGCATACATAGATACATAGGCACCAACTGCACACACACACATACAAACATACGTACATACCAACCCACATTCATACTTACACACACACATACGTGCACACATGCATGCATGCATGCACGCATACATGCTGCATGAATGTATACATACATACAGACACATAAACCTGTACACGCACATACAAGCATACATGCGTACATGCAAACGTACATGCATGCATACATGTGAACATACATACACTAAAACATACATACATATGTTCATACCTTCATAAGTACATGCATGCATGCATTCATGCATACAAGCATACACAAATACAAATACCTACATACATACATGCATACGTGTATACATGTATACATACGTACACACACATGCATGCATACAAACATACCTGCATGCATACACACATACATGCATGAATACATTCATACATGCATACATGCACACATACACTCACATATATGTGTAAATATATACGCACACCTACACATACACGCAACCACACATGTTGTATCGAAATATGTGTAAACGTGGATACAGTGATGCATGCATGCATGCATACGTGCGCGTATGCATACACACATACATGCATACATGCATACGGACATGCACTAAACGTGTGTACCTCTATCTCCCCGTCTCCCTGACTCACTTTTATTCTCCATGCCCTCGGCGCGCCGAGCCCCGCGGTCGGCGGCAGGCGACCACGCCACGGGCAGCATGAAACATATCCGCCGGCCCCCTCTGGCAGAGCACACTGGGCCGCCGCGCCTCCGCCGCCCCTCTCCGAGGCAGGAGGGCAGAATGAGGAAGCGGGAGAAGAGAGGACGAGGAGGAGGAGGAGGAGGAGGAGGAGGAAAGAAGAGGAGGAGGAGGAGAGGAGGAGGAGGCGTAGGACGGAGGAAGTGGGGAGGCGGAGAGAGTCAGCAGGAGAGTAGGAGGAAGGAGGAGGAGGAGGAGGCGGGAGGGAGTGAGGAGGACGAGGAGGAGAGAGGGAGAGGAGGAGGAGAAGGAGGAAGCGGGAGGGAGCAAGTAAAAAGGAGGAGGAGGAGGAGGAGGAGGAGGAGGAGGAGGAGAGAGGAGGGAGGAGAGAGTAAGGTAAGGGAACACCCCGCAGAGCCAGCGCCTGGTGAACGCGGCGTCGAGCACGGAACGGCCTGCTTGGGGGATGCGACTACCGTGGCCGTCCTGTCACGAATCAGCCTGGCGGCCTCGGCGTCCCTCGGCAAATTCAGAAGAAATAGCACGCCTCCCGGAGGAAGGAGACGAGGGACCCGCAGGGAGGCAGCTCCCTGCGGAGTTCGGGGAGAAAACGCACGATCCCGCACGCCCGAGAAGGGAAGAGTGAGGAGGACGAGGAGGAAGGAGGAGGAGGAGGAGAAGGACGGAGAGGAAAGGAGGTGGAGGAGCAGGAGGAGGAGGTAGAGGAAAGAGGAGGAGTAGAAGTTGAGTCGACGCTGCCTCGGCGAACCGCAAGGACGATGTCCATGCAAGAACGGGGAAAACCACGTTGATCATACAAGACAGGGTTGCGAGCTACGCGGACGCTGTGCAAAAATGCGTGAGGAGGAGGAGGAGGAAGGAGGAGGAAGAGAAAGAAGAGGAGAGGAGAAGGTGGAGGAGCAGGTGGAAGAGGTAGAGGAAAGAAGAGGAGTAGGAGGTGGAAGAGGAGGAAAACAGACGAAGGAGGAGGAGGACGAGAAAGACGAGGAGGGGAAAGGAGGGATGAGGAGGACGAGGAGAAGGAGGAGGACGAGGAGGGGAAAGGAGGGAGGAGGAGGAGGAGGAGGAGGGAGGAGAAGGAGGACCGACCGACCGACCGACCGACGACCGACCGACCGACCGGACCGACCCGACCGAGGAGGAGGAGGAAAAGGAGGAGGAGGAGAAGGAGTAGGTGGAGGAGGAGGAGGAGGAGGAAGAGGAGGAGGAGGAGAAGGAGGAGGAGGAGGGAGGAGGAGGAGGAGGGATGGAGGAGGAGGGATGGAGGAGGAGGGATGGAGGAGGGAGGAGGGGGGAGGGAGGAGGAGAGGAGAAGGAGGAGGAGGGAGGAGGAGGGGGAGGGGGAAGGAGGAGGAGCGGGAGGGGGAAGAAGGAGGAGGAGGGAGGAGGAGGAGGAGGAGGAGGAGGAGGAGGAGGAGAGACTGAGGAAGAGGAGGAGGAAGAGGAGGAGGAGGAGGAGGAGGAGGAGGAGGAGGAGGAGGAGGGAGGAGGGAGGAGGGAGAGGGAGGAGGGAGGAGGGAGGAGGGAGGAGAGAGGAGGGAGGAGGGAGGGAGGAGGAGGAGGAGGAGGAGGGAGGAGGAGCAGGAGGAGGAGGAGGAGGAGGAGGAGGGAGTGAGGGGGGAGGAGGAGGAGGAGGAGGAGGAGGAGGAGGAGGAGGAGGAGGAGGAGGAGGAGGAGGAGGAGGAGGAGGCGTTGGAAAGGAGACATGAGGAGGTGGTCGACATCGGCGCGTTCCCCCAGGAAAGCCAACGGCGGCATCTCCTATTTTGTTCAGTGGGCAGAAACTCCGGCCGGTGCCTAAAGGTCTCAGAATACCAGGGCGTTGAGACCAGCCTGGGCTACTCAGGGGGCTGTCTGCGTGCAACCCGAAGCACTGTCACATGCAACCCGAAGCACTGCCAGATGCAACCCGAAGCATAGCAACCCAGGCGGTCTTCGGCGCGCGTATCCCAAAACGCAGGCTAACCCTTGATAGCCCAGGCGCCTCCGAGAACCTCCGAGAACCACGGCAGCCTTACAACACGTTCGCAAGCCTTCAAAAACCCGAAGCCGTCCCACCTTCACTGCGCGAGGTCTGGGTCCCCTCGGCCTCGGGCCCGGAGAGGGAGCCGGGGAGCCTTCGGCGGCTGCGCCAGGGAGGCCTCTCGGATAAACCTGGGAGGAACCGGTGGGCGGAAGGGCAGGAGAAGGGCGGGTCCGAAGAAAGTCGGCTCAAGCGGGGAGGCGGAGGTTTTTTTTTCTGTGGGCCACTGCATGACAGGCTGCACAAGGCGACTGGCAAGCAGGCTCGAGATACCTCAGATGAAAATGACAAAAAAGACGTGATGAAAAAGTGCACGGAATAACCGGACAAGCTTGTTGAACTCATCGGCGAAGAAAGCCCCTCTCCACCAAGCGCTCGATCATGTGAGGCTCGAGGAAAGAGAAGTCCTCGACACGACGACTCGGAAGATCCTGGTCGGAAAACTCCTCCAGGGCACCATCGCCATTCCCATCCCCTTGATGTGTGCCAGTTGGCTCAGGCATAGGAGCTGCGTCCACACCTACTCCAACAGGCTGTAGCATAGCGGAGGCCACATTCGAGACCTCCTCTGGATCCTTCTGCTTGTTCTTCCTCTTGTTATTGTTGCGGCGATTGCGCCTGTGTACCTTCTTTTCGCCGCCATCCGCATCCTCAGCAACCCCAGCGCGGCAGACTGGATGATCCAAATCCTCGTCGTCCGTGCCAATATAGAAGGCCTCCTGCGGCTTCAGCTCCTGCGCGGAGGAGGTGTCGGCAGCCGAGGCGGCGGCGGCGGCGGTGGCATCATCACCACCTTGATCCTCGTCGGCACCGGCGGCGGCGGCACACGCGGCTTCACAGCCTCCGCCAAAACCTTCGAGTAGGGGTCCCTGGAGGTCACGCTCGGCGTCACGAACATTCCGGGAGGCGGTGGCGCAGGCGGCCTCACGGCCACCACAGTCGTCAAGCTTCCCTTCATCCCGGACGCGCGCTTGCGCCTCTTCCTGACGGGCTTCCCCTTCTGCTGGTACTTCTGCTTCTTCTTGTCCCGATGCCGGCCCTTCGCGATGAGTTTCTTCCCGCCGTACTTCTTGCACTGCGGCTTCTGCTGCTTGATCTTCTTGGAGCGTACGTTCGATGCGGGCCATGGCGGCACTGGCGGCATAGGCTGAGGCGGAGCCAACGCCTCCGTACCACTGGCCCGGCGCAGCCCACGGAGAAGTGAAGGAGGGCGTACAATGCGCCGAAACTGACCTTGCACCTTCAAGAGAATAGACTCCGAGCCCCGTACACATAGCGGCTGCGCTCCCGGCATCGACAATAATGATGTCATGATCTCCACGAAGATTGTTGACTTGCTCGAACAAAGAAGTCGAGGCCAAGTGCTGCGGAATGAAAAATCGCATGGACCAGGTAGCCAGCTCTCCCGGGCGTTGAGCAGCAACTCCCTCAGGCTGTAGACGATGACAGCCAACGAAGATGCCGCCCCTCAAGTACAGCACAGATGCCTGGTGCAGCCCCCGGGCACTCAGCTAGAGGACATGGCGCGCGGCAACAGCGCGGGGCGCGGGCCCCACGGGCGGCGGCCAGCTCAAGCCAAGTGGGTACTTGAGCGGGGAGGCGGAGGTTGAGGGAGGGGGGAGGAGGGAGGA